ATCCAGAATGGGGGCAGGGAGGAAATGTGTTTGCCCTAAGCAAGCTGTGCCCTGCCCCCCCCCCCAAACCTATTCAGTCCAGCAGGGGAGCCCTTTTTGTCTCAGGGCCTTTGGGGATGCCACTGTCCACCTTTCCCTTTGTTACTCAGCAATGCTCCTGCCTGTGTGGGGAGAGGCAGTGCCCAGGGCCCCCCACTAACCTCTCCATCTGTGCCTAGAGAGCCAGCCTACAACATCGGATGAGACAGTGGTGGCTGGTGGAACAGTGGTGCTCAAGTGCCAGGTGGAGGATCCCGATGACTCCTCGCTGCAGTGGTCCAACCCTGCCCAGCAGACCCTCTACTTTGGGGAGAAACGAGGTACGTGCAAGGGAGCAGAGGGTGGAAGAGGGCTGCCTCGGGGGAGATGAACAAGCCCTGAGACCAAAGGGTTTCAGGGATAGAGGGAAGGTGCACCGGGGTAAGGTGGTGCCCCAGGAAGATGATCTTCCTTCCTGCTGCCTGCTTATGATGCTGCTGCTGGGTTAAAACATGACCCAGTGGAGGGTCCTGGTGGCATTCAGCCTCTGCCGCTCACCCTGCTGTCCCTCTTCTCCCAGCCCTGCGAGATAACAGGATCCAGCTGGAGAAGTCCACACCGAATGAGCTGACCATCAGCATCAGTGATGTGGTGCTGTCAGATGAGGGTGAATACACTTGCTCCATCTTCACCATGCCTGTGCGGACTGCGAAGGCCCTCGTCACTGTGCTAGGTAAGCCACAAGCAACAGTTTACCCCTGCCTGCTCCCAACCTCCTACTTGCTTAGCCCCACATGGGCTATCCTTCTTATGTACATCTCTGCCACTTCCCTGCATCCTGACCCATTACACATCCTTGCCATGTCTGTCAGTGTGCCTGTCTGCACGCAACCATTTCTAGATAGCGGCACACACTGAGCTAATAGGCTGTTGCTTTTCTTGCCTCCTCTACCAGGAATCCCGCAGAAACCCCAAATCTTTGGTCATGAGCAGCCCATTGATGAAGAGAAGATAGCCCGGCTGACCTGCCGGTCCTCTGGCAGCAAGCCTGCAGCCCAGCTCCGGTGGAGGAAAGGCAACAAGGAGCTGAAGGGTAGGTGCCTGAGCAGTGGGGCTGTGCCCCAAGGGACTGGAGTAGCTGGGAGCACGAGGAAGGCAGATGGGCCAGTGGGGGTTGCAGATGTGCCCAGCACTGGACCACAGTGGTGTCCCATGCTACCACCAACCACAGGACAGGGACAGCGTGACACCTGCTGCAATTCCCTGCCCTGTCCCTCTGCTGGGGCACTGTCCCCTATAACCCCATTCCCTCCAACAATCCCGCCTGTCCCCCACAGATGAGGGCACTGAGGTGGTAGAGGACCCCAACGGGAAGACCTTCACTGTGAGCAGTCGGGTGGAGTTCCGCGTCACCAAGGAGGACAACGATGCTGAAGTAACCTGCACTGTGGACCACGAGTCCCTGCAGAACACAGAGAGATCAACCACGCAGAAGCTGCAGGTCCACTGTACGTAGGGTGCAGGGATGGTGGGGGACAGGGCTGTGGGGGCTGGGACACATGGAGGTGGGGGGACAGGACTACTTGGGGCAAGGGACAGGTCCATAGAGATGGGAGACAGAACTGGGAGAGCAGGAGGGGACAAAAGCCTCAGCATCACCACAGTTAGGCGGCTCTCCTACACACATGGCTGTGCACGTACACACACGTGTGCACACAGCCCTGCTGTGAATACTCACGCACAGTCTTGACACACATGTACTGAATCTTGCCGTATGTGTACGCAGCCCTCAAGTACACACACAAACACACACGCTGCCCTGATAGAGTCCACTGCACATACACATGCACACCTGACAGGTACCCATGCATATTCACCTCCCTGCCATGCATGCATGTGGACACGCATGGACAGACATGCACACCAACCCACTGCTCTGCTGCACATGCACAGCCACAGCCTTGATGCATGCAGGTCTGAGCCTTGCTGTATGCTTACAGATGCACACAGTTGCAATACATGTGGTCCTGATGCACATACAGTCACATTGCTCTGTAACACATAGAGCCTTGCTGAACGTGTATGCAGACATAAGCGCGCACACACACAGAGTCTGGCAGCATGTATGTGCACACAGACCACACAGCCTTGCTGTGAGCATTCACGTGTGTGTACATAAAGCTGTGACAAATAAGCACACATGCATGTATTTAGGCCAGCCACATGCAGATACACAGCTGTGCTGCTGTATGCATGCACAGAACCCTGATACATGCATGCACACATCTGTGCATGCACACACACACAAACAGCCCACAGCCTTGCTATACATGGACATGCACACACATACAAGCTCATCCCCACAACCCATACTCTCACAGACAGCTCACACATGCGGATGCTGCAGAGACACTTCCCCTGCACTTGCATGCCCCAGGCTTCTCCTGCCTGTCCATTCCCTATACGCTGCCTGCATCACCCACCAGAGTCCTGCCTGCTCCTTCCCCATATCCTGCCTGTCCCCATCTCCAAGACCTGCTTGTGCCATCCCCTGAGACTCATTTGCACTATCTCCCATATCCTGCCTTTCCCTATCCTGCTCATCCTGCATGTCCCCCCATGGGGATGGGGTGGGGGACATGAGGGCCACACTGTTGTATGGCAACCCCAGAGCCTCTTACCCCCCTGTCCCAGTGGCTTGCAGGGAGCCATACACACACACATGGGTGCGCTCACACTGCTGCCAGTAGCCTCCTATGCATGCAGGAGCAGGGCTGGGGTTTGGAGATGCTCTGTGGGCAGGGGCAGGGTTTGGGGATGCCAACAGAACCCCTGCATGGTGTGGGGCAGGGGCAGGCTGTCATCCAACTGTATCTCTTCTCTATATGCAGACAAGCCAACGGCAAAGATCGAGCCGCATCCCCTGTACCCACGGGAAGGCGAGAAGCTCCGGCTGCAGTGCGACGGGCAGGGCAACCCCGTGTAAGGCCCTCTGCTCCCTTCAGCTCCGCACCCCTGGGCCCTGGCCGACCCGTCCTCGCTCTGCGGGGGAACTGAACCAGCCACTTAGGCCTCCCGAGAGCACTGGCAGGGCAGAGTCAGAGCAGGGTAGTCTGGAGTCGGATTAGGGCAGTCTGGGCTCAGGGCAGGGCACTGTGAGTTTGCGTCAATGCCAGGCAGGGCTGGGCACCATGTGGAGGACAGGTGAAGTCCTTATGGCCTACTTTGTCCTCTCACTGGATCTGTGAATGCACCCCAGCTCATCTCTAGAATGGGTGCCTTCCTTCTGCTTAAATATTCCTATGCCCTCACCACCCCTTTCACTGCTCAGGCAGTGGCTCCACTCTGCCCCAGCCCCCCACCCACCAGCCCTGGGGTTCTGGGGAGGACAGAGGCGTCTCATCCCCATCCAACTCTGCAGCCCCCAGGAGTTCCTGTGGGAGAAGGAAGGCAGCGATGCGCCCCTGCAGCTGAGCTCTGACAGCGTCCTCATCTTCCCCTTCCTCAACAAGAGCGACAGCGGCACCTACGTCTGCACGGCCACCAGCTCCATGGGCAGCGTCGTGGCCAAGTACAACCTTGACGTCAGTGGTAAGGGGGGGCCATGGGGCACCCTGCATCACCCAGCTTCTCCCAGGAGCATCAGGTGGCACAGCACCTCCATCCCAACTGCTTCCCCCGTGGAGGGTTGCATGGATGTGGCTTCCTGCCCAGGAGGGCTGCAGTGGGAGAGGGGCTTTGCAGCACAGGGTGGGTGCTCGGAGCATGCACGCAGCTGGGGCTCCAGCACACTCACTGGCAGGGCACTGAGCATATCCCCAGGAGCGCTGCATCCCCAGCTCCTCCAGCCACATCCAGCCTCCTGCCATGTCCTTCCCTGCTGCTCTCTACCTTCACCTGGAGCCAGCCCTTGCCCCAGCCCCTTCAGGCTGCTCTGGTGTTTGGCCTCAGCCATTTGCTCCCCTCCACATGTGGTACAGCATAAAGAGTCCCATAAAGCGCTGCACAGAGCCGCTCTTCAGAGCCAAGAGGGGCAGAGAGCAGCTCGGGGAGGGGTTGAGGCAAGGACGCAGCACTGCCCAGGCTGAGCTCAGTCCCTATTGCCTCCTACTGGAAGAAGGAGGGAGTGCAGTGGGGGAATTAAAGGAGCCACAGGTGGGACTGAGCTCGAGCCTCTCACACAGGAGGAAAAACCAGTGCTCCTGAGCAGGTCACAGGCAAGGAAGCCTCTGCGTTATTACTTATGCCATGGCTCTTCGCACTGTGCAGCCAAAGAGGATTCCTGATGGCGTTGCCCCTCTGAACTGTAGGGCTCCTTGACAGCCGTGTCCCAAGCTTTTGGAGACTGGCCCAGTGGCTTGCTCTAAATTGCCAGAGCTGCAGGCTTACATTGCCCTCCTATGCCCCCAAAACAGCTCACTGTGCTTGACATTCGTCCTTGTGTGGCAAAGAGCAGGATCTGCTGTCACCCTCCCTGTCACCCAGTCCTCCCTGCTTGCTGTCCCCTTGCTACCTCTCCATGCTCCTGGTTCTGCTTTGTCACTGCAAGCACCGTGTTCGCTGTTGCTGAGCCCTGCCTGTATCTGAGTGCTGTGTGTTGTACATGGAGCAGAGCTGTGTGCTATGCAGGGCTGTTAGTGTTTCTCCAGCACTTGGATTCATCCCTGGCCAGGGCTGCTTGGGAGGCCAGTGGCTGTGCTGCCCTGTCCCAGGTTTGCTTTGCTCAGCACCCAGCCCCTTGCCCTGCATCTTTCCAGCATTGGTAGGAGCTGGTTCCCCCACTGCCCCACAACAGGGATCTGGCCCTGGATTTGGGGATTGTCCACCTCTTCTGTAAAACCATCTTGCCATCTCTGTCCCATCCATAAGCCTTAAACTTCCTGTCTTCCACTCCACCACTCCTTCATGCTACAGCTATTCCCTTTTCCCTTTCACCTTCCCTCCCCTTCCCTCCCTTTTTGTTTCAGGCACGTGCACCATCCTTCCCCTACAAGCGCAGCTGTGGGTAGAGAGAGTGTGTGTGGCAGCAATTGTTCATCAAGCACATCACCCCACTAAGTCCCTCTCCCCTCTGTCTTCCAAGGATCAGCCCTTAAGTGCTGCATTCTTTCCTTGCCTCTCGCACCCTCCCTCTATCTCCCTGTGCTGCTCAGGGCCAGAGCCCAGGGGTGTTGGAGCTACTGGACCCTGCCAGCCTGGGGGATCATTGCTGCAGGGGAGCACTGGGATTGCTCTGGACTGGCACTGCCTTTGCTGCCCACCATCCTCCCTGGTCCTTACCTGCTTTCCCTAGCACTACTTTTGCACTGAGCCACAACAGAGAGAGGGCGTTCAGTCTTTCTCACCCTTCCCCGGCCATCCCTGCTGGGGCTTCACCATCCCCCATGTCACCCCTGCATGCAGGGTTCTCCACAGGGAGCTGGTTCCTCTCGCTCTGGCTCAGCGCACTGGATGAGCTGGAGCTCTCCCGCAAGCTGGGCTGGACTCTGGTCCTTCTTGTAATTGGTGTGTCCACCTCCAGTGCAAACGCATCCCTGCTCTGCACCCAGCCATGAGCACAGTAACACCCAGAGCAGTCAGTACCTAGCCATGACCTCACAGCACACAGGGTGCTCTGCAACCAACAGGATATCACAGCAACATCCAGGGTACTTGGCACCCATCCATGAGCACACCGCACCCAGGACACTGGGGTCATCCACCCGCTTGGTGTCACTGCACCTGGCAGAGGACCTCCACATCTGGGCCTGGTTCCCATTTTCAAATCCCCCTCTTTTTCCCCAGAGGCACTCAGACCTGAGGCACCATCACCACCAGAGCATCTGCCCTGCCTGGCTGAGCCCTCTTGAGACTGCCTGCCACAGCAGCCATCTTGGTCTGTAGCAAGGGAGAGCAGGGACAGAGCGGTCCTAAGGATGTGCCTAGGAAATTGTAGGTGGGACCTTGTGCCAGGTGATGCTTTTCAGCCTTATCAGCCCTGGAATCCCACACAGGAAGGGACCCAGTGGCGCCCAGGAACTGTTCTCAGAGGAGGGGGGCTGCTGGGATATGCTTAGGCACCCGACAGGGTATAGAAGAGGTAGGGGGAAAGCATCTGCAGGAGTGCTTTCCCAGGTGGGTTTTGTCAGAGAACAAGAGGATGGTGGCAGGAGGAGAGGAGCAAGGTTCTGAGGGCTGTCCAAAGAGCATGGTTGGACCCAGGGTAGTGCGGAACCCCTGGGACAACGTGACTGAGAAAGGGGTGGTGGAAGGAGCCACTGAGAAAGATGGGTGCCCAGCAGGCCAGGGCTTGCTGTCCTTGTCACCTGAGCAAGGTGTCCCTGGGAATGTTCCATGCCAGGGTGAGCCCAGAGGGCTGAGTGGTACAGGGGGAGAGCCAGGCTGGGAGCTGGGGGGAGCTGGGGTCTCCTTGAATGGGCTCTGTCACACCTAGCTGGCCTCTCCGAGGGGTTGATTTGTGTCCCTCTGTTTTTGTTGTCCTCCCCAGATCTTTCCCAGCTCCCCACCCCACACGTTCACTCCACTCCAGCCCCTCCGCCAGGCCCTTCCCAGCCCATCTCTCATGCTACCATGGCCACCGCTTCATCCTTCACTCCAGCTCCCATCCAAGGTACCGTAAGCTCCTTTTCTCTCTCTTTACGGACCCACTGCTCCCCAGCCCAGCAGGAGAAGGTCTGCAGGAGGATGGCTGCCCAACCCATGGGCCAGGGAGACCCTTGCCACATCCCAGGGTGCCCAACCAGGGTGTGGTCTAGTTTGACTGCTTCTTGGCGTGTCAGGACTCGGAAGCCACCTTCCCACTAGGGCCAGCACTTCTGGATGGTGGTATGCAGCATTTCCATGGCAGAAGAGGTCAAGGAGTGAGACCATGGGCTGCACAGTGGTCCTTCCCGCCCTTCCCTGTCTCTGCTCCCTAACCTCCTGCTCCCATCCCATTAATGTAGACCACTGCCAGGAGACGTGAAGGGTGGAAATGCCCTTATGCATCCCTCTTGCACCATGGGAAGTGTCATCCTGTTCAGGAGGGAGCTGCTTCTCTCCTGAGGCACTCACCCACACCCTGAGTCTCCCCAGGTAGTCACCCCCATGTTTTTGGCTGGAGTGTTGTGTGGCAGGTTGTCGCAGCAGTTGCCTGTGAGTTGCAAACCATGCCTTATATCTGTGTGAAGCGTCATCCCTCTTTCCTGTTGCCTTCTCTGTTCTTTTTTCCACGCTGTCCTGTACAAATACCTCCTCCTCCTCTGAATACTTTTCTGGCTCTTTCCACCCTGGAGCTGAGCGGGGAGGATGAGAACTGAATGGAAGGAGGATTTGGTCCCTGTAATAGATGCCAAATGCCTTCCCCCAGTTCAACGTGAGACTGCTTTTCCCTGGGTACAGGCTACTACAAAGATACACTCTGCCCCACACAGGCAGGAGCTTCCTAGCTTGGCTCTGAGTAGTTCATCTCTGCCTGGCCTGATTACTGCTGTCCCTGCAGAGGGGACATTGCCATGAGGTGCCGCTCCACATTCCCAAACACGAAAGTGCCACCCAGTGAGGGCAAATGCCAGGACCCTGCTGTGGACTCAGCTATAAGAAGCAGCTGGTTGGGACTGGCCAGTGCCTGCTGGATTCACTCCACTGTGACTGTCTAGACTCCATCTCCAAAAAGGGGAGAGGGCATGGCATGGCACCAGGACCACCTTCCTTAGGACGCCTGCCTGTCATGTCCTATGGTACAGCGCATTGCTGTGCAAGCCTGCTAATCATCCTTAATATTGGCAGGATGCAGGGGAAGAACGAGCAGAGCCTGGCTCATCCATGCGTTTCTCATGCAGAGCTATGCGCTCAACCTATCCCCTTCTTGGACAGAAATCCCCTCCACAAAGGACAGAGGAGGATTGGAGCTGGCTAGAGACCCCTGAGGAGGAATCACTCAGGAGAGCAGTGGGCATTGCGGGGCTACAGAATCCTGAGGGGAGAGGTACCATGGGCTGCATGTACCGTGGCAGAGCACTTTCCTGGTGCTGATCCCTGGGGAACATCTCAAGCACCCAGGGCATTGAGGGAGGCTAGGTTGGCTCATCATAGCTCTAGGCAGGCTCTTCAGCTTGCTTTTCACCCAGACGGGGCTCCCAGCGCAGCTGCTCAGGGATCAACATCTCTCAGCTTATCCTCACAGGAGCCAGCACCGACTCACCTCCTACAACAACCGCCTGTGGATGGGGACCACCCTCCTTTGCACTCCCCTCCCTGCTTCTTCTGATGCCTCCATGGGCCCCATCCCTTCTCTGTTCCCATCTTGGCTCCTCTCCTCCGTGCTCTCTGCCTCTACAGCTATTTCTTCCCATTTGCAGTGAGGTCAAGCTGCTCGTTGCTGTGTGTGATGCCAGAAGACATCCTGTGTTGGCACAGAGCTGAGCAGGATTGGGGCCTGCCAAGACTCCTGTCTCCGGCCCTGAGCAGTCCTTGGAATGAGCACCAACTTCTGACATGCAGCAGGGCCTACAAGTATATCTCTCTCTTTCTGTTTTCTCTCTCCCTGCTGTATGGACAGATGCCAGCCCAGTGCCATCGACCTCCGGCACATACCATGCGGTTATTGGTGGAGTGGTTGCCGTCATCGTCTTTCTTCTGCTCAGCCTCCTCATTGTCTTGGGACACTACCTGATCAGACACAAAGGTACGGCCTGGGCAAGCTCCTTGGGGGCAGCACATAGCCAAGATCCCCATGCCTGTCGGCCACCCCCGTGGCATGCCAGGCAGACGCCACAGGGTGTGCTCTCGTCCTGGATGGGTCTCTCCTGGCCTGGGATCCGGACTACTTCCCCAAAGTGAGTGGGCAGCATGGGGCAGGGGTGAAGGGAGGCTGCTGCGCATCCGGCCTGCCACAAACCTGTCCTCTATCTGGAGAAACCTAGTGCAGCCAAAAGAGCCCTCCAAGATCTGGGGGCCATAGCACTGTGCTGGCACCAACCCCAGCACAGTGATGTCCTGGTAAATCCTTGGAGCCAGACAGGACTAGGCAACACTGGGCAGAGGCAGCTTTTCCCCTTCTTCCCTCTCTCCCTCTGCTACGTGGCTTGGTACTCACAGCCCTGGGACCGCCCGTCCCCTCGGTCCCCGTCTCTGCACCCTGTGGTGTGCCTGCCCCGTCCCATCTCCCATTCTCTCCTCTCTCTGCCCATCCCTTGAGCCCTCTGCACTCCTGTTCTTCCTACCCTATCCACCATTTCCACCTCCCCATCCCTGGACTTTTCATCCACCCAGCAGGTGTATGCGTAAGACACGGGGAGATGGTCACATCCAGACATCGGCAAAAACCAGCAGAGGTGATGTGTGAGTAAGAGCCCCCCTCCCTGCCATCCAAACCCAGAAGAGCTGCCTGCATCTGCCCTGTGCCATGTCAGCACTGGGACATGTAGCTCCTGGGGGAGCCGGGAGCTGGAGCCGCATGTCAAGGGCTCTCACGTCCTGACAAGCAACTGTGCTAGCCCACAAGGCTCGGCACCAGCTCTCTGCAGGCATCCCCAAACCTGAAAACTTCTCTTTGCAAACTGTCATTTTGCAGAGAAACATTTCAGTTTTCTGATGGGGAACAGGGATCAGGGATGCAGGGAGGGGCAGAGCCCTATGCCAAGCTGGACGGCAGGGAGGGCAGGAGGTGTACCTGGAAATGCAGCTGAGTGCAATTGCCTGCAAAGCTGGGGGCAGTTTCACTTCTGGCTACAGATGACAACGGAAGCTTTGAGCAGCCCAGGTAAGGAATGATCCCTGGGCAGGGTTCATCCCAGGGAAACCAGTGACTTTTCCGTTTCAGGTCAAAGCCAAAGGATTTTTCTCCGCTCATCTCCATTTTTGCAGCGGGCTGGAAGTGCCTTTTCCAGCCAGCCTTTGAGCTCTGCCACTGGGGCCCCTGCAGGCAGCTGGGCTTTTATCTGCTTGCGCGGGAGCATGGCACTGGGAGAGCAATCAGCACATGACACTGCACGCTCTCTCCCTGCTCAGGTACCTACCTGACCCATGAGGCCAAGGGGTCAGATGATGCCCCAGATGCAGACACAGCCATCATCAATGCAGAGGGCGGCCAAGCCAGCGGTGATGACAAGAAGGAATATTTCATCTAGGGGCGCTGGAGAGGGTGAGATATGGAGCCAACAAACCCCAATGCAAATGGAAACCAGACCACAAACCCAACTCAACCCAACAGATTTTCTCTCGTGCCCGGGACGGGCAGACGGACGGACAGAGGGATGGCGGGACAGAGAGCAGAGAGCGACCAGCCTGAGACATGATGCTTCTTCTTGAACTTGTACAAAACGTTATTATCACGAACAGTGAAAGCCCTGGCCCCGTTTGCTTGCTTGCACCACCATCCCTGCGACCGACGCTCGCACTAAATACAGACCAACCAGTGAGTGAGCGACTTTTCCTTCTTCCTTTGGACCTTTGCTTTGGTTTCGTGGCTGCTCTTTGCTTTGGGCCCTTGGTTGGGATGTTGGGCTGGGGTTGATGTAGCTCTTTCCTTTGTTTCTCTCCATTTTGGTTTCTTTTACATTCAAGGATAAAATCAGCTCCAGGCTGTGGCACAAGCTCCGGGCACCCAGGTGGCCTCTCTGTCACTGACACTTGCCTTGTGCCTCCCACCAAGAGCTGGGACCTGTGTCCCCATCCCCCCCCCCCAGCGTCAGCTGCTGCATGATTCCCCAAGCCAAACTCACGGTGCTGCCTGTGGGCTGGGGATGGGGGAGTGCCATGGGCCCCGGTGCAGCAGACAGGATAGGGTTCTGCATGCCCAGAGCAGGATGCTGATGGGCAGCATCTCTGCCTTTGAGGGCTCAGCATGCATTGCCTTTGGGAGTGCAGCTCGGGGCAAGCGGGGAGGGACGCTGGGACCCTGCACTGATTTTATCCTTGGTGGTTCTTGTCAAACAATGTCCATTCGGGAGGAGAACTGTCCTCGTGTGATAGATGTGTGAAGGGGGATGAGCTTCCAGGGTGGGAACCGCTGAGGCCCCCGGAGAGACTGGGAGCTGCTGAGCAACTGCAGTTCCCTGTTCCCACCCCAGCGGGAGGGGGGAGGGCAGGGGCTTGGGGGCAAATCTGGAGCCCCAAGTTGCAAATTCTCAGATTGGAAACATCAATTAAACCATCTATTGAGATGTTCAGTGGAGGAGGCCACCTGCACCGGGAACACAGGGTAGAGCCAGGAGATCCAGCAGGCCTGCGGCCATCATGACTCCCCTCTTTCCTGGGCCCAGCTCTGGGGCCTCGGAAGCCTCTAGAAAGGGTAGTTTAAACTCCAAGAATTACTGCAATGGAAGCTGACATGGCCCAGTGGCCCTACGGGACGTGAGCTGGAAACAACCTGGTCAACACTGCCACCAGCCCAGGGCGATATGAGGCCTGTGATTTCTGTTGGCCGGGAAGAGAGAGGCTCCATCGGGGTCTGTTCCTTGGACCTGTCTGCTCCCATTTCCTTCCTGGCCCCCTCCCAGAGAAGGGTGCTGAGTATGGCGCTGTGCTGAGGAGCACGGGACCCCACAGAGAGACATGCAGCTTGATCTAGCCCAGAACAGAGCTTAGCCAAGCTGGGGAAAAGGGGGGGATTCGGCTATAGATTAGGCTGGCGGGTGGGCATCTATCCTCACTGTTCGGGATGCTGGACCCCATGTCACATCTGAGACGTTCCCTCAGTCCTGGTGAGTTCCTGTTTGGAAAAGGCTATTTTCCTCCTGGTTCTAAGGGCTGCAGCCAACAGCAGTCTGAGTGCCCAGATTTAGTGTCTTGATAGTTTAGGGGTCTCTGTGGAGGCTCGGTGGGAGGCTTGCCCTGTTTTTTACCTGTGTGGGGCCTCCCTGGGGAGAAACTGTATCTCTTCCAAGTCAGACAAAAGCCAGAAGCTTTTTCTGACCTCTCCAACATGTCCCAGGGGTCCACTTTCCTCACCCCAACCCTACACCCACCATCCATGGGATGCACATTGCAGCTGCACGGGGTTGTGCGCTCCAGCTATCTGCAGGATACCCTATGCCTCCCTGGAGAGCCAGGCCTTGCCCGTGACACTTGGGATGAGGTCTCCCACATGCCCAGCAGCCCAGCATTGCTTGGCCTGGACATGAGAGGTTGCCGGAGCTGCTCTTCGGCTGTGCACCCCTTTGATTTCGGGGTGTCCGGGGAAGGAGAGCACTTCTGGAAGGAGGCAAAGCCTGCAGTGGCCTGGGTAACTTCACCTGAAAGGTAAAGGAAGAGCCTATTTCCTCTGCCGTGGGGTACAAGATGGCTGTGCCACTTGTCATGGGTTGGTAATGTCCCTCTGGTCCAGACCCTTAGAGCAGAGATCCATGCACATGGCACAGAGAAAAAGGCCCCAGGAAGCCTTCCCAGAGTGCGTGGTGCTGGAAGTAGGGTAGTGGGGCTGCAGAGCCTAGGGCTGGTGCTGGGAAGCCAAAAGCAGCGCTGGGGTGCAGGGTGCCTGGAGCAGAGCAGAAGTAAGGAAGGGGTTTGGCACAGCTATAGCTTTTGGGAGTGTGAATGAATGATGTGGTAGCATTTGTCTCACAGGCAGAGATGTGACTAGATTCACCACAGCTAAATTGTCTGTCAGGGGCACACAGGCAACAGGATGTTACACACCTTGAGAAAGAAATGCATAAAGTTTTTATCACACGTGATGAAGAAAACCTGTTGTTTTCCCCACTTTGTTCTTCCCTTTACATCTGTTTGGAGGAGGACGTTGGCCTTGACACAGCCCTTCCTGAGTGCAGTGTCCCAAAATGCAGGGGGACGAGCCAGGAGAGGAGAACAGGCAGAGCCATCTCACAGCTGTGCTCCTTTTTATTGTCATTTTTGGAAGAATTACTCATGTAGGAAGGATCTCACTCGTACAGTCAGCACACAACCCATGTAGAGCGGCCTGTATCTGCAGAGAGTCTGAGACAATAGCTCTGAGATCATTTCAAGAGATGCTAACATCGCTGCAACAGATAACACTGCAAATGTCGATGCTGTTAACTACTTCACTGCACACCTGAGCATGTATGAATGTGTGATCTGATGCTACTCTGAAGCTCTTTAACATCCACTATTGAATAGACGTAATTCCTTAAAATAAAGATGTAAGGACGTGTTTTCAAATATAATTTAATCTTATTATAAGTCTACGTGGTGTAGATCATTATAAAAACCACCCCTCACTGGGGATCTGCGAGGGAGAGGGGTTAAATGGTTACATCTTCCTGAAGAAAGGGACTCAGGTATTTAAGGTTAGAAAGTGAGATTGTGCCCCATGAGAGGCATTGGGCCACAGGCACAGCCAAGCAGCACACGAGCTTTTCAGCCACCTGACTCCAGCACTGCCACCCCAGAGCTGCTTCAGGGGCTGGTGCAGGCAGCTGTTGTTGCTGCTGTCTTGGGTGCCTGAGCCAAGGCTCCAGCTGGTTGCTCTCCCCTCACTGGCTGCAAAGTGTACCCTTCCCCAGGCCGTCCCCCAAACACTGACAGCTGTAGCACACCTGGGAAACTGGCTTCTGTGTTTGCTCAAGCTCCAGCATAGGCGTCATCAGTGTTGCCAAGCACCAGAAACAAACCTTAGCTACCTTTTTCACCTGGTCAGAGAGAACAGGATTTGGCCTTCATGCAGATCCCATGTCATAGCAGAAGTCGCAGGAAACCTCCCACCCTCTTCAGTGGTGCTGAGTGCAGACATCTCCCATGGAGCAGGGAGGACCCAGCATGGGCAGCACATTGTGGCTGGAGCCATTGCCTCCTCCAGACATTAGCTAAGGATGGGCCAAGCCTCACCTCGAGTGGGCCCATTCCCCTCCTCTGGCCACAAAGGCCCAGTGAAAGGTTGAGCCATGATTGCAGACATGGCAGACATGTGAAAGTGGTGAGAGGAGGCACGCAACACAGGGGCTGTGTGTGCAAGCAAGAGCCAAAAGGCTTTTGTAGATGCAAGGGAGTGATAGACACGCTGTGTCAAGGGTGTGAGGGTAGTAAAGACACCCATGTTATGAGGGGTGACAGATGCATCAGGTCTCAGGTGTGAGGAGTGATGAATACCCCATGTCATGAGTAGGAAGTGGTGGTGGAGATACCATCTCAAGGCTGTGATGCAGTGATGGGATACGTCACGGTGCGTGAGGGCTGACGGTCAGTGTTGTCTCACAAGTGATGGTACATCATACTGCTCGTGGAAGGGGCGATGAGATACATCACATTGCAAGTGTTGTGGATATTGCATGTATGAGGCCATGAATATGTTATGTCACAAGAGTGAGGTGTTGTGGGATGCACCATTTTGTGAGCCTGCGAAATGGTAGGATACACCATGCATTGAGTGTTTCGGGGCGATGAATACACCATTTCAGGAGTGTGAAGAATAACAGATAAATGGGGTTGTGAGTGGGGGGCGTGATGAGTTACACGGTGTTGTGTGTTGGGGTGATGGGATGCACTGCATTGTGCATCTGAGGGACAGTGGGGTTCACTGTGTCGCCAGTGTAAGGCAGTGATGGGGTACGCTGTGTTGTGAGTGTGAGAAGTGATGAGCTACACTATACCATGATTGTGTTGTGGCCATGTTGTGCGTGTGGGGGATGATGGGGTACACCCTCTATTGAGTAGCTGCTGGTGGGATACACCTGGTATTGAGCATTTTGTGTGCTGGGATACACCGTGTTGTGAGTGTGAGCGATGCTGGGATACACTGGGTCATGCATGTAAAGGTGAGTTAGGTACACCATGTCACAAGTGTGAGAGATTGTGGGCTATACCTTAATAGCATAGGAGATGGGATAAAAATGTGTATGAAGCAGTCATGGGATGCACTGTGTTACAAAATAACAGAATAAGGAGACCCACCTTGTTTAAGTCTGTGGGGCGATGAGACACAGCAGAGTGCTAGGGTAAGGAGCAATGGGATACCCTTGGATTATGACACAGGGTGTTGGGGTGATCAGCTACACCATGTCCCGAGTGGGAGGGATGACATGATATGCTGTGTAGCAGCTGTGAGGGCTGATGGGATCCAGTGTGCCATGAAGGGGAGGCTATGATTAGAAATACCACTTAACAACTCTGAAGTGTCATGGGCTACACCGTGCCATGGGTATGAGGGCGAATGTAATACATGAAAGCGTGAGAGGTGATGGCAGACACCATGTGCCAAGCACATTGTACACTGTGTCTCAAGGGTAAGGGGCTGATGGGCTGCCATGTCTCATGGTTGTGATTGGGCAATGGGCTGTGCCATGCCATGAGGATGAGCAGTGACAGGGAGACATCATCTTATGGAAGCCCTGTGTCAGAAATGTGGGAGGTGACAGGGATATACCATGTCACTAGTGTGGGAGATGAGCGGATATACCACGTGACTAGTGTAGGGAGGTGATGATATACACTGTCACTAGTGTGAGAGGTTACGGGATACACCATGTCTGTGTGATGGGGAAGTGACAAGATACAACACGTCAATAGGGTGGAGGGTGGGAGATGATGGATACACTGCACCAAGTGTGGGGAGTGACGAGATAAGCCATGTCACTGCTGTCAGGAGTGACGGGATACACCATGTCACAGGTATGGGGAGGAGATAAGATAGACCATATCACCAGTGTGGGGGGTGATGGGATACGTTATTTCACTAGCAAGAGTGGTGATGGGACGCATCATGTCAGTTGTGTGGGGAGGAGATGGGATATACCATATCAGTAGGCTGAAGAGGTGAGGAGCCACACCATGTTGCAGGTGTAAGGGGTGATGAGATACACTGTGGCACTAGTGTGGGGAGGTGATGGGATACACCATGTGTCACCAGAGTGGCTGATGATGGGGTACACCATGTTGTGGGTATGGAGAGGTGAAGGGACACATGCCATGTCACTGGTGTGAGGAGGTGAAGGTGTGCACTGCGTCAGCAGTGTGAGGAGGTGATGGGACACACTATGTCACTAGTGTGGTGACATAAGGGGATGCACTGTTACAGTGGAGAGTGGACACCCAGGACTGAGCTTGTGCCTACCACTGTGAGCACCCAGTAGAGCCAGGCACTGTCACTGCATTGGTAGGAGGATTCAGGGCCTTGTCAAACCTAGGCTACTAGGTGGCCACTTCTGGGCCAAAGGACTCCCTTCTGCCAGGCTGGTGGGTCTCCAGGAGAGCTCCAGCCCTGTGTCTACCGCATGCCACCAGGTCTACCCTCACTGGGCTGAGCCCATGCGGTCAGTGCACCCAAGGCCAGTCCTGGAGATCATCACCCCCGGGGGGGGGGGCCTCTTGGCTGCCACTCAGGCCTCCTTGACAGCCATGTGGACATCCAAATGAGCATTTAGGCCCCCATACCCTAGGTAAGACCAGGTCCTCCTCCAGCAAAGTGATGACCCAGCTTGGTCACGTTTTGTGGCCAGGCATTTAAATTCCTGCTTAGCCCTCTGCCAGCCTGAGCAAACCTTTTCTGGCTCTGTCCCCCGTCGTCTCTGCTCCCTGCATGCACAGGCCCTGGGGTCAGGGCTGCTGCTTTGCAGGACAACGCTCCATGCTCTGGTCGCCCCATCTCCATCCTGACAACGGCCGGGGGGCCCTGCAGTGGCCAGGCTCACCGAGGTGGGGACGTGGGGGCATTTCCTCTGGGCACAGACGTGGCAATGGGCCAGAAACCAACTGAGAAAGTTGCTCTTCAGCCAGGGGTGGTCCAGCAAACCCCAAAGAGGAGGAGCGGACTGGGGCTGGGGTTGGGAGGGAAGGCAGGGCTGTCCCCAGCACCAAGGGGCACAGTGGGTCAGCCCAGCACCAGGCCCTAGGCAGCACAAACAGCAGCATCCCTGAAGGCCACATGCAGTGCCCACAGGACACCCCATTGGGGACAGGGCATCAGCAACTGGCACCCCCTGGAGAGGCGCTCTGGATGCGTCCCGGCCAGCACTGAACTCTCAATAGACGACGAAAGCCATATTTGTACTGAGCTCTGAACACGCCGAGGTGTGGGCTGCGGGGCAGGGCAGAGGACGGTCTGTGTTGTTGTGCTGTGTTCTTGTATGTACATAAAGGGAGACAACGAACATCGATGTTACTTTATAACCTTTCTAATATCCTGTGCTAATCTCGGAAAATAATCCTATAAATATATCTGGATTACACACGTTATCTGCCTGCTCTTCTCTGCTTCTCCATGCACGCATTACGCTTGTGGGGCTCGGCCCTCGGGACGCTGCTGCGGAGCCGCCTGCTGTTCTGCCCCCACCGCGGCGCTGCCCCCAGCTCCCTCTCACACGCGTGTGCACCAGCACGCTGGCCCCTGTCCTCCTTGGGCCACACTCACGCACATTCTCCTCTCCAGCACTCCCCCACGCCGCTTCTCCCGCACACAGCGAGGCTTTGTCTGCCGGGGTCACATGCACCCGCAGGGTTGCAGCCACAACCTGGCAGCCTCTCTGCCTGCTCACACAGCACCCTTTGCTCTTTATCAGCAGCTCTCTCCAACTGTCTTGCCCTCCCGTACTCGTCAACACGCTGGCACATGCACAGTGGGGTCAGGCCACTCCATGAGTGGGCATCCTGGGGATGGCTGTGCTGTGCCCACCTGGCCTGAGCCCTGTAAAAGGCTGTGCCCAGACGGCAGCACCCATCCTGACTCCTCCAGGCTATGGCATGCCATTTCTGTGCCCTCCGGCAGCACCAGGGAGAGCTGTAGGGTGCAGGGGGAGGGGGAGGCAGGGAGCTATCTGGGGAAGGGGGGCACCAGGGCAGAAGAAGGAAGAGGAGGCAGAGCTCAGCCCATGGATGAACATGGCTTGGGACATGGCTCAGCCCATGGATGAACATGGCTCGGCCCGTGGAGGGACACAGCCCATCTCACAGCCCACAGAGGGACACAGCTGAGCCCATCAAACAGCTCATGGAGGGACACAGCTCATCTCAACATACAACCGATGAAGGGACAGTTTATCTCCACACATGGTCCATGAATGGATGCAACTCAGTTCATTGCACAGCCCACAGAGGGGCGCAGCTCTCCCAGCACCTACCTCTCCAGGAGCCCGAAAAGGCCAATGTGCAAATTTGCACCAGAGCACTTCGTATTGTGATTAAAATGTAAGTGCCTCATTTACATAGCATGTCCTTTCCCTAGATGAAGAGGTAATTCTTATTTCCTACTGCTTCTCCCAACCCCAGTGCAACATGGTGACAGCTGGGCTATAGAGAGAGTGAAATACGCTACCCTCGGCAAAGGTGTTGGTAAGTCCTAGAGAAACAGAGTGGTAACACCAAGAGAGTTGAACACCTGAGCTGGGCTATAGAGAGAGTGAAATACACTACCCTCGGCAAAGGTGTTGGTAAGTCCTAGAGAAACAGAGTGGTAACACCAAGAGAGTTGAACACCTGAGCTGGGCGTCGCGGCTGGCTTCGGATGCGCTCTGGGCCCTGGCGTGTGGGAGCTCCCCAACCCTCTGCATGCTCAGCGGCACCAGGATCATGCAGCAGCGAGCATGGCACCACACCAAAGCAGAGCTGTGAGGTGCCCTACAGACCAGTGGGCCCTGCGTCATACCCAGAGTGATGCCCGCCAGCCTCCCGCAGTCATGCTGCGGAGCTGGGCACCTCCACACTGCCCCTGCCACCCACTGACCTGATCACTGCACCCTTTGAGGGGACTGTCTCCTCCCCTGGCATCCCTTAGCATCCCCCGAGCATGGCGATGACTGTTCTTTGCTGCTTTTATAGCCAGCCGTATATGCAGCAGCATCTCTGAGAGCCGCTGCTCCTCTGCAGTCCTTCACTAGACTCCCCTTTCCATTTGATTATGCGGGTGAAGGTTCATCCCCAGCTGCTCCGGGGATGCGAAGCTCCGTCCGGTGAGAGATGGGCAGTCACACAGCATTGCAGGGACCATCCATCTTCAGGTTAATGCAGATTCTCCCGAAGGGCACCGGCTTACGGCTGGATTATGATTTTTTTTAGCGGGCAACATGCTTCTGCTCCAGCCTGAAAGCCTGCCCAGAGCGTGAGCAGCCTCCTGTGAGCACACAGTGTGAGGGGGCCACCCTAGCAAGTGGGACAGCTTTCCTTCGGTCCTGGGGAAATTCAAGGATGCTGTATGTCTGTGCGCAGCATCCGATGCAGCCCAGAACTACCACGTGATCCGCCACGTCCAAACCCAGCCCAAAGCATGAATCAGCTCAACAAGGTCCAGGAGTGGGACACAGCCCCAGTGCAGTGGCATGCAGTGCACCCAGTGTGACGGTCCTCAGCTCAGGGCAGCCAGGGTGCTGCACGGGGGTCCCAGCATGGCTTCAGCCCCCTCCCTAGGGGGCTGGGAGGTGTCTTACCATCACAGGGTGCAAAGGCTTTGCTGCCCTGGCTCAGCTCTACTGTGATTTCGTTGCTGCCCCTGCACACTCCCCATCCCATAAAACACAGTGAGCCCAAAACGCACTCCTCAGGCTCAAGAGCATTGCGATTCCCAGCCCTCCCCCCCAACCCCCAGGCCCCC